ACACACACACACCCACCCACCCACCCACCCACCCACCCACCCACCCACCCACCCACCCACCAACCAACCAACCAACCAACCAACCAACCAACCAACCAACCAACCAACCAACCAACCAACCAACACGCGCACACACACACACACACGCACACACATGCACACACGTCCACTCGGTAGGATGCACAGTCGAGCTTCTTGAAGCCCCCGTTGAAGCTTTCTGAGCCCTTAGTTAATGCCCTTAGCAGCACAAAGCTGCACAATTTGCAGGCGTCGTCTATTCGAAGCGGGCCAGTGGAGGCTTGATGCCGGACAAGGCCGTTTCATATTGCGTACTTGTTCTGTACAGGCGTGCTTGCCGATGTTGTGCAGGTCGGTGGCGGTTGGCTTCGCCTCCATGGGGACAAATTCCACGAGGACTCTGTGCCTCTCTAGGCATTCGACAGCACGTGACAGCAGCAGAGATGCAATCGTGGTCCACCTGGCATGTGTCGACGATACGTCTGAGGCCATCACAGTGACCGTAAAGCCTTCACGGCTGTATGTGCAGACACCCCATGGCCAGCACAGGCTCATTGCGAGTTTGCTTGTGCTGACCTTGAAGAACTAAGTCGTCAACTCGATTGTCAGGTGTTCGGGAGAGTATGTCCCAGCAGAAGATCGCCTGGCAAACGGCTATCCGCTTTGGGAGCATGCAGGTGGAAAATGTTGGCTGTATTCAGGCCGGGCTGAAAGAAAGGGTTTTAGCCTTTACCGAGCATGTGACGCCGTTGCAGCAGGTAGCAACGGAATGTGGATAATCGGTGGCACAGATGCTGCAGCCAAAAATTTCGAGTGCACACGTGGTGCCAGACGCCCAGCCTTGAAGACCCTACACAGCAGCCTACACATTTGGCCGTCGGACTATGTGCTGAGGTGATTTACTGTCAAACCGTGCACAACGGGCAGCCCGAACCTTTGTCAGATAGAACTTCAGTATGCAACAATCGGAGCCTTACATGTCCGACGGTGGCAGGATGCCAGACAAGATGGTCGGCAATTGGCTACGGCTTGATGGGGACAAGTTTCGTGAGGCAAACCGCGAGGTAGATGTCGTGAGGTTTGGCTGGCAGTGATTGCTTTCTCCTATAGAAGGGTAAGCGGTCATCAAGTAGGGGTGGCCGTTGCGAGAAAAACAGGATGTGTGTTGCCGCTGACACATCAGGATGCTGCCATTCTGGTGGGAACCAAACCTCCCAGCCTCCACGTCCTCTGTCCGAATGGACAGCCGAAGCCGCGTCTGCAGATTTTACACTGTGTGTTTGATGAAGCCCCATCCATCCGAATGACAGGTGCGGCGGAGAGTATGTGCTCGTTGGTGATCGTTGGCATGGCCAGCCCACATGGAAGCAAAGGCGGACCGATTTACGGACCGCGGGTTCAGGGAGTACGAAGCAGTTCAACAGTTACAGCAGACCCTTCGAAGGCATGACCACTAGCTGAGTCGATGTAGGTGTGATGCCATTCTCAAGGATTTGCTCTGGAGCCGATGGTCACTGGATGGTGGCGGCAGCGCGCAAGGACTTGCGGCCGAAAGACCGTCCCCCTCCCTGCAGAAGTTTTTATTTGCAGGAGAACGGAGACTCTGAGAAGCCCTTGCTGAGATGTTCGGGCCTCGGGGACGGGCCCAAAGCCGGAGCTGTCCTAGTCCTGTAGTCTCAGGTGACCAGCCCCACCTCGGCGAAACTCCCGACAAGGAGCGGCCCTAGCAGATGAGCCCGACGGCAGGAGCTCGAGCTTCCCATTCCGCATCTTTGGGCTCCAGGTCGTGCAGGAGAGTTGCCAGCTGAATTGCATAGTGTCTTCATGAGCCGATGGCGGCGGCCGGCCAGGAAACAAGCAGTTCAGAAGTCGCTCAGATCGTCATGGTGCCACCGTGCCGCCTCATCGTGCGAGCTACAGCGGGGGCGAGAGTGATTGGCAAGCAGGGTGCCAGCATCAAAGCAATCCGCGCCGCGACTGGAATAAATTCCGTGCGAGTTCTACAAGATGAGCTGCCGGAAGCACTGAAACGCCGGGAGGAGGCTATAGTCATAATATCCTGCGGCGAGGAGGCGATGCTAAGACAAGCAGTAGCCATGGTTCTCGACAAAGTTTTCGATCGTTCTGGGCTCCCTGACTCTGCCGATCGCGAGCGCGAGCGCCCGCATGTTCTTGACATGATCGTGCCGGAGCGTGCGGGAGGTGGCATTGTGGGGCAGGGAGGCGAGCGCATCAGAGCCATTATTGAGGAGCTAGGTTGCGAAGTCCAGGTTTCTCGTGAACCTTTGGCTGGCATTGCTTCTCAGAAGAGGGTGAAATTATTGGCACGGGATCGAGTTCCGATAGAAGCCGCGCTGTGGCGTTTACAATCCACGCTCAAGGAGCTCGTGGTCTCGGAGGTGCTGAGATCAGAGCACTTCGAGCTGCGGGAGGCGCTAATGAGTGAGGCAGAAGCTGCAATGAGCGCTGAGAAGGAGAGGTTTGCCAGCAAAGGCAAAACAGAAGTACCCCTTCGGATACTGTTGGCTCAAGGCGAGGCAGCAACTGTGGTTGGAAAGCTCGGCGCGAATGTCGCGCGACTAAGAGACCTGGCTTTGGTTTCCATAGATGATGCGGAGTCTCCTCCATTCCACCCGAGCGAGAGGATTTGCAGTGCGGCTCGGGCAACTTTGGCTCAGCGTTTGAGGGTGTTGAGGTTGGTGCTGGGCGACTTGGCCACACGCAGTGCTGCTATCGCACGAGAGGAGGAAGCCGCGAGGCCCCAGGAAGCTCCCGAAGGCATGCGTCAGGTTAGTGTGTCTTTGCTCTTTCCTTGCGACCGTTGGGAGGAATTGGAGCCGGTCCTGCAAATGGAGCGCAGTCTGTTTCCAGATGGTTTGGAGCTTGAGGTGCAGGACTCCGAGCACCAGTCAGCTCGACTGAGAGCGGTAACCCTACGGGGCCCAGAAGAGGCCGTTGCTTTGTCTGGCTGGAGGCTTCACAGGTCTTTAGAACCATGGGAAGTATCTGAACCGCCGCCAAGGGTGGCACCTGCCGATGAGGACGACGACGAGCACACTGAGCGGGGCAAAGGCAAGTCGAAGGGCAAGGGCCAAGGGAGAGGTGTCCAGTCACAGGTTGCCGGTGCTTCGATTGAGCCACGAAGAGATCCCGAAAGGTCAAACCAACCAAGAGCCGCCCCGGCCCAAATCCCGGCAAAGTCTGCAGGAAGCAGTGTGGCCGAAGTCAACGACAGCCCAGCCCCTTCCACAAACGGGGTGGTTTCAAGCATGGCCCACTCAAAAGGGGCAACTATGATGGTGGCAGTATCGGATTACCATTTGGCGAGCTACCTGGCCAGTGACATAAGCGGCATAGCCAGCAGAGCGGGCGTAAAGCTCCATGCGAAACCACCGGAAGGGAGTGCACCAGCAATTCTCGAGATATACGGATCACTCGACTCCGTGGCGCGCGCGTGCTACTTCGCGCAGCTGCAAATGTGGCTACGCTCGATGCTTTGCAGTGCTATGTAAGCGATACAGTCTTTGACATGCTTCACCCGGCCGTTGTATTGCATGTGCCGTCGAGCGTTTGAGGGAAGTTTCACTGGCCGATCATCCGAATATTGATGAAAAATCAACGGCACTTTTGTCAGAAAGAGGTCGTTGCCTTTTCTGTATCTCTTGTGTTATCGTTCGACGATGATCACCTTCTTGTTTGTAGCTACCACAGCCAACATGGAACCTGTTGCAAGTAGGACTGCGTCCCAGGTGCTCTCTTCTTGGAGTCGTCTAGAAGGTGAGGACATGGAGAAGGCTGCTGGCACTCCTCCCCGAACGTTGGCCGCCGACAAATTTCTCTGTGCACGGTGTCCATGCATGGGAGTCCTTGCTTGTCCAGGATGACCAGATCAAAGTGCCGGGCTCGGACCGAAATACGAGCTCCTCGAATGGACCATGTGCTCTGATGAGGTATCATCAACTTCTTCACTTGGGAAGCCTGTCAAATTGCATGTGTCCACACCAAGTGGGCAGCAGAGCTGCGGAGGACTGGGCCTCAGGCTTCTGCAAAGTGTTCCCACTTCTTCGGCCACTTGGCAAGGTGAGTACCTGCTGGTGGCTGGCGAATCTGCAAACGGCAGCCCTCTGTGGAAGCAGATGGGTGGGAAATATTGGCTCTATTCAGGAGATGCTCACGAAGTTTCGCAAGTCCAGCTGCAGACCTATGGGTTGCAGACAAGATCATGCAAGAGCAGATTGCTAGACTGAGTTCGCTCCAATCAGCTGTGCAGGAACCAATGGCTTGTGGATTATTGGAGGAAGCGGAGCCAAAAGGAAAAACTTCGACTGCTCCCGTGGAGTAATCTACTCGTCCCGGCCTTTTGGCTTTTGCTTCAATTTCGATTTTAAACCGGAGAGATTGTCGAGGCAGACCCCACATGGAGGCCAATTGCCACACCAGGTGGAGACAGACTGTTTGTTGTTTGGAATGTTGCTGAGAGCCGTCTAAGAGTCTAGGATGTCCAGGGTGCCGCAGGTCAGTGGGATCTGGCTGCGACTGCAAGGGCAGGAGTTGGGGGCCCAGATGTAAACATGAGAAGGTATGGTATGAGGAGCTGCGTCCAAAAGAGGTTTGTGGAGGACAGCAAGATCAGCATTGTTCAGTGAGCTGATCGCTTCAGCTCCTCAAGCACGAAGAGGTCGCTGTCCATCACTGTAGATAGCGCAGTGCCGCGTTTGCATGCACAGCTGCTGCGCTGCAGCGTGGCAGCATACCTGCAAGGGTTCTGGTCGTACCGGTTGTTCATTTTATCATCGCATTGGGTGCCCTGCTGAGAAGGAGGGCCCGTGCTGTCGCACTAGCTAGTGCACAGCTCACATGCCGAGCGGAGATGAAAGATCATGCGCTTGCATGCACTTGTGACATCCGTGCCGGTGCATTTGTGCGTGTGCTCGTGTTTCAAGCAGACGTTGAACCTGTAGCACTCCGGACATCGCGCCGAGGAGGATGCGGACACGTGTTCTTACAAGAACCGGAAAATTGTCCGCAGCCGTTGCTACAGAGGTGCGCCTGCCAATTGAACCCTCACGAAGCATTGCTGTGTCCCGACGGAGACCAGCCAGCGGGATTCACACCTTTGGGATCCTTCGGCTCCCGCACTTACGGACAGAACAAAAGAAAAGTCATAAGACATAAACCTGATACCGGACACAGGGAGAATGCAGAGTCGCAGTACTTCCCCCGGCCTCCTGCAAAGTCGCTCCCTCGCCTAGTAATGAGGGTCTCGGAATAAGAGCCAAGCACCAGACAGAAAGGGCAGGCGACAACATTTCAGTGCCTTCAGCTAGTCGCAGCTATAACGAAGGCTTTATGGACGAAAGCCATAAGCGGCACAATTCAGCAAAACAGAGTTACACCTAAACGTTCTACCTGCAACGTCTTCTGAGCTGAGCAAGCCGGGAGCGGCGCGGTATCCAGCGCTGCGGTGAATGTGAGCGAGTTACTCGTGAAGCTGTTTCGAGGCCAGTTTGAACAGTACTCATACTCAATGCGCATGATCCGATTGGTTACACTGGGCGAAACCGTCTCACGTTACGTGCCTCGACAGCAAGGCCTGGTTGCGGTATGTCGCACATTCGTGGGGAGCTCGTCGAGTGCAAATGAGCCTTCGGGAAGACTCAAGATTCTACTAGATGTCGAGGTTCAGCCGAAGAGGAGGCTGAAATTCATCCTTGCGCATCGAGCTGCAGGCAAACCTAAGCTTTGCAGGACTTTTCCGGCATCATTGAGATTGCCAGACAGGTTGTCGAGGAGCGGCACTCGTACTTTGCACTCCACTTCTGTAGCAGGTTGTGCAGTGCTTAGCGCTCGTTCAGGAGCCCGATGCGTTTCTGTTCGACGAGCACTGCACCACAGAGGTCAATCAGAATGTGCTGTAGCAATCTGGGGAGTCAGCTGGCTTCCACGTCCTGAGGAGTTGGAGGCTTTTTGGCTTCCTGACCTTACCATGCATGCTGAGACCTTCGTATTGGAGGCAGGGCTGCCGCATGGCGCAGCCTTGCAGGCATTTCCTTGCCGTGCAATCAGTATATTGCAGGCGAGTGGCTTTGCAGGCATCATCGGGGCATATGCCACGGGCTAATTCGTCCCGTCCGGTGCAGAACAGGCAGACATGTTGTGGCTGCCGCCGAGGTTTTGTACCCGGCAGCGCACGGACGTGGCGCTCACATGGCGCATGGCAGCTATATGGCGGGCCCAGACAGTTGCAGGCCGTAGGTGTCCAGCCACATTCTAAGCCACGTTTCTCAGGTTGCGAAGCACGCAAGAGGCAGAGGCTTTGGAAGGGCATTATGCTTGATGCCAAGCATCTGAGCTCAGCATCAGTTCGGAGCAACCCCGACCACTGGTGCTGCACTTGTCGCTGGCATGTGGCTGTGATTCACATGTTTGCAAGCATCGCGGTCACTACTACTGAACTACTGCAGAGCAGGGCAAGGAACATCGGCAAAGAGACTTTAAGCAGATCGTTTGCAAATGTTGCAATGACAAGGCGAAGCTTTTGAAGGATTCATTCACATCGTGCTTCCGTGCCATGGGGATCATGTCTCGAAACGGCTTCCCCCGGACTTTGCAGAAGCTGGTGCGCGGCTTAAAACTTGTGCACTGCTGGTGACAGGCGTCATGCAGTAGCAGATTCGTGTGCGAGTGCAGCTGCACATAACTCTAGCGGGCACCACGCTGGTGGAGTCCTACCCCCATAGCTGTGCATGACTCCTGGACTGTTGCAGAAGCAGTGTTTGTGGAGCTGGGAAGACGAGTCCCAGCCTAGTACTGTACAGCCGGCATGCCCTGCCAGGGCATAACTTCGGATTACCTGCAGATTTTTGCTTGCTGTCCGCTACTAGACATTTTCGTGTGCAAACACTGCGACGATCTGTGTCAAAGGATACTTCTCACGAGCCGTGGATTCGTGGAGCAGACAGATCGTTCATCGGACTGCTTCCGAGATCAAGTATCAGATCCCTGCCGCCTTTTTCTGCCTTTGCGACCCCTCCAAAATGCCTGAGAAAATTCAGATCTTGACGCCATGCGGTATGTGTACCCTGCCACAGGAAGTAGCCGCGAAAGTTCCGGCGTACATCCTCTCGAAAACAGCGAAGCTTGACATCCCCTGGTTGATAGTTTTTTGAAGACGGCCCGCCTTGTCGTGGCTCCTCAACCTGCTGTCGCTGGCCCACCTGCCTCGTCGGCGGATCTCGGACAAGGGTCTGAGCTTGAGCAGGTGATCCCATGATCCCTGCTTGTTCCTCCATGTCGGTTCTTCTACAGCGAAGTGGCTATGTCTTCCACTCCCAATACATCCACAGCCTCGCGCCAGTGTTTGAGGTAGGAGGCCGCAGTGAAATGCCACATCCAAGCGTCCGCCCCGTTGATGCGCATCTGCTGCTTCGCCTGATGCTGCATGAGGAAAGCGTGCTGGTCGTCGAGAATCAAGACCTCGTCGTACCGCCCGCTTTGGAGCTCTCTCCGCGCTCCAGTGGGCTGAGAACGATCACTGCATGATTGTGATCCTCGTTGGGTTCTACGAAATCCTCTGCGCACACGCGAAGCCACTCTCCTGGCCTGGCGTAAGTCGAGAAAGTCACTTCGTTGAAAAGTGCCATGCTCCGCACACCTTTCTTCAAAAGAACGCCGGATATCGCCCTTTTGATGAACTCGATCATGGGAAGCCGTGTCTGTGTGGGAGCCATTCGCGGCCACCCTCTTAGGCCCGGCGGAAGCGGGGCAGGTGAACTTTGCCTTCGCGCGCGAACTCCGGCCTCTCGAACCCCAGAGCCGCAAGCAGCTTGTCTACATAGTTGCACCCTTCCCCGTTCATCAAGGGACTAAAGGAGAGACCCTTAAAGGGACCCTTGGGGTTATACAGGGGCTTTATGAGACTATGTAAGGAGTATATAATGATGATATAGGTAATTAGGATTAGGGGTCCCTTCTTGGGGTCCCTCCTATTGTCCCTTAAGTTCAGGTACAGGATGTTTGCCCAGTCGCCAAGCGCCGCGTCGAGAGCCTTCGTATCTCCGATCTGTAGCTGGTGCTGCGCCACGAAGCCGTAGAATCCGTCCAGCTTCTTCGCATAGTCACACGTTTGAGGTTCTTTGACACTGCTGAGCTCCAGTATGCTTTTCTCACCCTGTGTCGCACGCAGCTTCAGTGCAAACTTCTTCTGGCGGTCCGCAGCTATTTTTCGCTTCGCCTGATGGCCCTACAACAAGGTTCTTAGAGACCTTGACGCTGGATGCTTGGATGGGCTCTTCATACGCTCCATTTCCGCATGGCCACTTCTGCTTCGAGAACACCTGCATCGTTCGCTTTTGTCCTCCTGAAATCGCCATGGCTATATGCTGCCTTAGGAGGTGCCCATGCTCTGCTGTCTTTGTCTGCGATGTTCATTTCTGACACAACCCACCTCATGCATAGCTTCACCCCGCAGGCAAGAAGATGGGTGTTGATCCTTCGAACAATCCGTAGAAGGCTGTAGGAGGTATACTTTCCTTTCGACAGGGATAAGACACACTTACATTGCCGCTCATAACCACCACTTTGTGTCAACACTAGAGGTGAAGAGGTTCGCTATGGTTGATTGGAGAACGTCAAAGCCTGTGCCAATTCCCAAGTTCCATAAAACTCTTCTTGATTTGGGAAAAACTGTCATCGACAGACACATTGCCGAAGACCTTCCCTTCAACATCCGGTTTCACGCTGGCTGGATCTGAGAAACGATCTAAGGCCAGCGCACTGGCTCGAGGCGCCACATGTTTTGCGTCCCCCAAACGGAACCTCCAACGCTCATCATATCCACCCAACCCCCCGACGGCATCAGGGTTTGCAGATCGACTCATGACGGCATAACCGGAAAGGGATGCATCAGTACACAGAACTTCTTGACTCCACGGTGACTTGAAATCACTCACCCCCAAAACAGAGAGGTGCCTGAACATGTCCAGCTCATCGGCAACGCGTTTCTACAACCTCACCCAGCGATCGTAGTGTCGCTCAATATAAGCATAGCAATGGCTTGGTATTTCTAGCAGCCCTCGATGCAGCAAGCAAGGAGCTGTAACGTGCCCAGTGACGACCTGAAGCTCAGCACCCGAAATAGGGGGCCTGGTTGAGACGGCTGCAATTGCACGATCCAAACGCCAATCCCTATGCGGAGTGGCGCACTTGTCCGGCAAGTCCGTCAAGGCGAACTCCGAGGCTCTCAGCAAGCGTGACTGCATACACATGGTCATGGGTAGGGGGCCGCGTGCGACTGCATCGATTGCTCGACCTCCTGAGGTAAATATCCGAGAACCTTCTGAAGATGATCAGAGTCAACAGCAGGCAGTGAAAAATACTCACCCAAGTCCTTGCTAATCCCCAATCTGTAGACAACATCTCGGACATCTTCTTGTGCAAAGAAAACATCTTCGCCGCTCCCCACCTCCAGTCGGCCCCACTCTCCACAGAGCCTAGCAAAGTGGTAGGCGGCGACCTGAAGATGGCATTCGTCCTTCGAGCGTCGATTATGAGGCGTTGCTTGTCATTTTTCTTGGTGACCGCAAATATGACCACCTGAGACTTCGGTCTACATGTAAAGGACAGCAGCTTGCTACTGACCAGGTCCGCACCTAGCTCATGATAGGCTCGACGGTCGCGTGCCAGAACCGGGTCGATGTAATTCCTGTTCTCCACGCCCTTCTCGATGACCCCGGCTATTTCCTCTTCGCAAACATCTTCTCTTCACGAAAACTGTGAAGCCGGTCCGCCTCCACCTGTGGCAACAGATGCTCGAGTTGAGTTGGTACCTGTTGGTCTCGTGGTAACGACAGGCGGCTCCGAACGAAACTCGCAAATTGTCGTTGTCCTGGGCCTTCAATTTACCCGGCCTTCTTCTTCAGCAGCTGCCGAAGCTCTGCCTGAGGGTTCTCCTTGTCCACAGGAGGTGGGCGAAGGAGATGGGCCTTGTAGACCCCGTTCAAAACTTTTGACAGGATACATAAAGGCCACGGAGAGGCATCCGTAAAGCCCGCAAGCTTGTTGAGACACCACTTTGCAAAGCGACGTTTCCATTAAACGCCTCCGTCTTGCAACCCTTTGTGACGATCGACGAGACCGCAAAGAGCTCACACTGCCGGAGAAACCCTCATCCACAGGCATAGGCAAAGACAGAAGGTCCCCATGCTGTTGACGTGGTTGTGTGGAAAATTGATTGGCACCTGTAAAACTTTCGCGGCCGACACCGGTGCCCCAAGTGCGTGTCAGCCACCTCAGTGGGTTTAGGTAGGCTTCTGGGCGTTTGGGTCGCCCTTATCCGTTCCCTTCGGCGGCTTGCCAGGACGAGCGCCATCATCAGGTGGGACTCGCTGTCGCCGCTCCTCGCGGCCAACCTCTGCTGCTTCAAGACCTCAGCTTTAGATGCAGCCCGGTGCGCAGCGTGTTGGGTGATTCCATTGGCGGAAAAGTCTGATCACCGATGCCTGTCCCGCTTGAGCTGTAGACCTTGATCCAGCTTTCATTCTCTTGTGCTCGCTCAACTGCTTGTCTCGATTTGGCCTTGTCTCTCGGATTCTCATGTGGGCCCTGAAGTTCATCAACAGCTCTTTCACAATCAACTTTGCCTGTAGCTCGTCTCTGTCCTTCCACCGAGGCCGGCGCCCTATCAGCCACCCGAACAAAATGGAGAAGTTCATCATGTTTAACATCTCCATCACCACTGTGCTTGGGAAGATAGGTGTCGTCCTCCTTGATCCGCCTCGGGCAGTCGCGCGCCATTGATCCGAATCACTTCCGTGTACACGCTACCAGCCTCAAGGATGGTTTCCTGGACATCGTGATCAGGCGTGATTACCCGGCATAAGTTTCCTCCTCCATAGCATCGGACGATTCGCCCATGAAGAAGCGCAGGATCATCCGCGAAGCGCGCGAGCGCACAATCTTGCGGCAACCACTGCTTCGGTTGGCTCAGCTGCTCCATGCTCTTGAGGGAATGGTGTGTAAGATCGTAATACAGGTACGTGCGCTGTTGTTGGCACGCAAAGCGTCGTGTAATCAAACTTCCGCAACCGGATCCACAACAGAAAAGTACCAAGTACACCTGCAAGAAAGCCGATCAGCAGACACGGAAGACAGAGAGGCCCCCGAACAGCGACTCCCGTCTGGGTTTGAGAGAAATCCAAGGCCGTCCGTACTCACTTAGTTGTTCCGGCCTGTCGAACCAAGTCTTCTCGATCGTTCCTGCACTTCTCTGTAATGGCCGCAGATGATTCACCTGCTCAGTTTGGTCAGACGCCGACGATCTCCCACCACTATCTCAAAAGCAACCGATCGCAGCTGTCCCCAGTCCATCCATGGGCTGGCACACTACCCTGTCGCTACGAATGACTGAGCAAACAATTGCGACAGAAATCGCTCCCCTGCTGCAAACACCTGCAGGTGATACGAAGTTATGCCCTGGCAAGGCACACCCGCACCAGCCTTGTGTTCTCACGGTAGTTAGCTTGCCAAGTGCATTTCGAGCTGTCTGGCCGGACATTGAAGGAGATGGAATGAGAGTAGTGCAAGAAAACAGTTTAGATCTGTCTTTTACTGGTTATTTGTCTAGCTTAACAATCGCTGTGACTGTTTGCAAGTTGGTACAGAGTTGCATGCCGACCCAGGTCCGTGTGATCATGCGGCATTTGAAAAAAGACGCAAACTTGCTCGGTCTTTTTCTGCTGTCATTCAATCAGTGAGCTGAGGTTTTGGCGTGCCTGTGGCTATTAGCAATAGGTGCAGGTGGCGACACTGTCAAGAAAGTCAGATCCTTACAGAGTTGCCGGATGTGGGGGTCCATTGTCAGTCGATTATGCCGTGCTTGCAACAACGTTCGTGCGACTGCTTGCCGACGTCGCAGGCGCATGCGAATATCTTTGCATGAGCAACTCTTCGACAAATTGCAGGTTGTCAGCACTCCATGGTGGCCGCCTGGAACAGAGAAAACTGCAGCAGCTTTGCTGCACTTGCAGTGCAAAGCACTCCTGCATACTCCTGCTTGTTGGTGGGTATTTCACTTATTGCTTGTAGTCGCGACGCGTCAGCCAAGGAAAGTGTTGGGATAATATCACATGGCTTCGTTTTCATGACTGCCATGATGGAGCTGAATGAGACGTGGCCTGGCACAGGGTAGTAACTCTGTCTGCATTCTTCACTCCATGGGCTTGGCACCAGGCTGCAAAAGACTGCCGTGCAAGAGATTCTCGATGTGCACGACATTGCAGTCGCAGCGGGCGCCAATTTGTCGGACCTGGTGACTCAGCTTACAAAACACGGCTCGTTATTGGAGTCTGGAGTTTGAAGCTGGTTGTGTGAGGTGGATTGCTACGTGAACGTTCCTTCCGGGAGAGGTCCAGTGGTAAGGGAAGCTCTTTTGTCGGCCATGCCCATTAGCATCCAGCAGCACCCACCCGCATTCACTGCCACTCGGCTTCTGCCGGGAGGATTCACAATCGGCTTGGTATTAAAGCGACTGTTTGGGCACATTGTGTTTGATTGCACTTCACACGAGCAATGAGGTCGTTGAGATGCCGGGTGAATACAAGGACTTGACTGGCAAATGCAAGCTTTAGTCACCGCTTGCGGCAATACCTGGAAGCCTGTGACAGTTCGTGCCCAACTCCATCATGTGCACTGCTGCACTGGCTAACACGACTTCGGAGGGGCAGCGACGGACCTGGAAGCCTCCTGCCATGATTTGATGCTATCCCAGATCTTGTGCGCAGGGGAAGGATCTTTATTCGCGGGAATGCGTGGCCGGCACATGTCGGTCCTGCTGCCCGCCTTGAACGGGAGAGTCCAACAGCTTAACTTTATCAAAGCGTGACAGCGAGAAAACATGGGACTAAATTACAGGAATACTGCATGATTTGGGCTCGATGCCGAAAAAGGTCTGAACAAAGCGCCTCAAGCCCGACCTACGGACTGCGCCGGCTTCGAGTTGAATCATGAGTACTGGGATGCCACTGATGACACTGATGTGTGTTTGGTGCGTGCGCTTCTGAACCGAGCCGACATGGGGATTGGCTGGTTTTGCTGTGTTATGATGCCACTAATGTGACTGATGCATGTCTCACGAGCGTCTACACGGCGGATACCACGTGTGTTTGGAACATCCAGACACGGACCAGAAACCAGCATAGTCTTGATCGTGACAGTTTAGGGGAGGGGGTAAATTGAAAGATTCACAGTCTGATCAGTCTGGTTTGGGTTTATACCCTGAAAGTTTCGTAGGGTTGTCTGTTTGTGCAGCCCACCATCACCACCACCACCACCGCCACCACCTACGCCACCGCCACCGCCTCCGCTGCTAGTGCTGCTGCACTTCTTTTTCTTCTTGAATATACTGGGACCCTACCTCTACTACGACTGCTTTTTGCTACTGCGCTACTGCTACGGCTACAGCTACAGCCACGACTATCACTACTACGACGACTACTACTACCACCACCACCACCACCCCCACCACCACCACCACCACCACCACCACCACTTCTCCTACCCCCAGCCACCACCACCACCACCACCACCACGACTATTAATTACTGCTGCTGCTGCTGCTGCTACTACTACTACTACTACTGCTACTACTACTACTACTACTACTACGACTACTACGACTACTACGACGACTACGACGACGACTACTACTACTACTACTATTTCCACTACCACTACCACTACCACTACGACTACTACTACTACTACTACTACTACTCCTACTCCTACTCCTACTCCTACTCCTACTCCTACTCCTGCTGCTGCTACTACTACTACTACTACTACTACTACTACTGTTACGACTACAACTACCACTGCCACTGCCACTGCCACCACTACTACCACTACTACCACTACTACCACTACCACTACCACTGC